ATCTGCCTCAGCCAGGAAGAACACAATGATAATACCAATATGGGCCAGTGAAGCAACGTCCTCCACAACTAGACTGAAGAACAAAAGGACAGCAACTTGTCCCCTTCCCTGATCCCCCAACGCTGTTGCCCTCCCCCAATTCCCCAATAAAATCTTTAAAAAATATATATGTTTATTATTAAAGAAATAATTTTAAAAGAAAACGGAAAAAAATATACTGTGTCCCAACAAATCTGGGACAAAGAAGTGCAATGCTTAGGGGTGCACCCACTGAACCCCAAAAAATGTCTCATCAGCATTTTGGGATGGCAGCAGTGGCAAAGTGAGGTTAGTGCAGAGAGTGTCCCCACGGGCCAAAGGCGTCAGACGCTGAGAGGCGACAGCGCAGCTGAAGTAGAAGTTGAGTCTCAGCAGGCTAATGCTTCGGGTGGTGGGGGAGCAGATGCCCACAGCCAGGGTGGCCCTGTGCAGCATGGTGTTCTTCAGGGAGGAGGAGCAGTTGGCTAGTGTCACCTGGATGTGCAGCCTATAGATGCCGTCATGCTGCACACGGAGCTGCCCTTTGTCCAGCTGTGGTCCATGCAGGAAAGAGCGACCCAGTTCTGGGCCCCCCTGCCAGTGCAGCCTGGGGTCCTGCCGAGGTCCTGGAGGCAGAGGGTGAGGGTGGGATGGAAAGATGGAGGTTTAGGGAAACTGAGTGCTATAGACTGAACAGCCAAAATGTTTATGTTGAAACCTAACCCTCAAGGTGATGGTTTTAGGAGGTGGGGCCTTTGGGAGATGATTATGTCAGGAGGGTGGAGCTTTCATGAATGGGATTAGTGCCCGTATAAAAAGAGATCCCATGTCTATCAATGCATGCATGGATACGTAAATTGTATATCTAAATAGAATGGAATATTATTCTGCCATAAAAGGAAGTTCTGCCACTTGATACAACATGGATGGACCTTGAGGGCATTATGCTCAGTGAAAGAAGTCAGACAGAGAAAGACAAGTACCATATGACCTCACTTATATGTAAAATCTAAAAACAAACAAAGAAAAACCCAACGAACTCATAGATACAGAAAACAGATTGGTGGTTGCCAGAGGTGGGGGCTAGGGGTGGAAGGTGCAAAATGGGTGAATGGGGTCAAAAGGTACAAACCTCCAGTTATAATGTACAGCATGGCAACTATATACATATTATTATGTAATAATAGTCTATTGTATATTTGACAATGGCTAAGAGAGTACATCTTAAAAGTTCTCATCACAAGAAAATAATTTGTAACTATATGAGGTGATGGATGTTAATTAGACTTACTGTGGTGAGCATTTCACAATATATACCAATATTGAATTGTTATGTTGTACACCTGAAACTATATGTTATATGTCAATTATATCCCAGTTGAGAGAGAGAGAAAGCGAGCGAGAGAGAGAGAGAGAGAGAGAGAGAGAGAGAGAGAGAGAGAGAGAGAGAGAGAGACCCCAGAGTCCACTAGGTGAGGGAGGACACAGTGAGATCAAACATATGTTCTTTATAAGCAACCCAGTCTGTGGTATGCTGTTATAATAGCCTGGGCTGTAAGTGCAGAGAAAAAAAGAGGAACAGGGGTTCCCGCACTATGAAATGGAATGAACACAGCCCTCAAAACTCAGTTGAGAGGAGTAGGGTTACAGACAGAATGGGAGGGGATCGCCAAATGACTCACTCTCTCACATCTCTGCTCTGACAACCTTCTCAGGGATGCCTTCTTTAAGAACTTCACTTTCGAAGCAAACTCAGGCTGGCATGCTGATCCCCTTCTCTTGCTTAATTTTTCTTCAAAACATACTATATGTGCTTTACTCTACTTGGCATGCTGCATAATTTTCCAGCTCTTTTATGTATTGCCCCCGCAGTAGAAGGAAAATGAGAGGACAGGGCTTTTTGTCTGTTCCCTTCCCCACTGAGGCAGCCAAAGTAGTGCTTGGCTCACAGTAGATGCTCAACTTGTGTTTGTGGAATGAATGAAGGAATGCTAGCAATTGTTATTAGTGTGGTTTTAGTTGTTTTTGGCTCTCCCAAGGCAGAAGATCAAGTGTGAAGGACTGAGGGAAAGGATAAGTTAGCACACCCAGAAATACACTGCCTCAATCTCTTTTGCTCCCCCTCTTTTTCTCATTCTCTCTCTTTCATTCTTTTTCTCCCTCTATGTCTCTTTCTTTCTCTCCCTTTCTCTTTCTCTATTTCTCCTTCCCTCCCCTTCTTTCTCTCTTTTTCTCTTTCTCACTCAGTCTCCCTCCCTCCCTCCCTCCCTTCCTCTTTCTTCCTATCACTCTCTCTGTCCCTCTTTCTCTCGCTTGTCACTCTTTTTCTCTCCCTCCCAGAACTCCCCCCCACCCCACCCCTTCCACATCACCTGTGTGGTTCAGCTGGAGCTCAGCTACGTCCCACTGGAAGAAAAGAGAAAAGGGTAATCAGGACTCTCTTCTGTCCACCCTGCTATGCAGTTTCATCTCCAGGGGCTGACTTGTGAATGTTTTTTAAAATAACTTCTTAAAGAGGAAGTAAGTATGTTTGAACCAGCATGGAGCATAAGAAAATACCTTAAAAGAACTTAGTTTCCTGGACATAATGCGGGGAGGAGGCACGGGCACCTGTCTCTCTCCGCTGTAAAGCCCCCGCGCGCTGTAAAGCCCCCGCGCGCGTTCCCTGTGGTGGGTGTCCAGGGCTCGCAGGCGAACGGCTATGGTTCTCCTGTCCTTGGAGCCCCCGACACCCCCCAACCCCACCAGCTTTGTGAAGCACCCAGCAGCCTCTGAGTCAGCCTGCTGGGGGAACACCAAAGCCGAGTCATCCATTGTCGTTGCCACGTCCGACGCACCTTTCCCAGAGGCAGCCGCCCACCCTGGGATCCCCTCAGGGATTTACCTCCTGGGCAACACTACCCCGGAGCCCCGAACCCCAGGGCAGCCTTGTCTCTGCCTTACCTGCCTGCTTAGTCTCTATCTTTTGCTGTCGCTTCCCAACCAGATTTCTCCTCCTAGCTGATTTTTATCCATCATTCTGATTTTTTTCTTTTCTTCTCTTTTCGTTTTTCTTTTCTTTATCTCTCTCTCTCTCTCTCTCTCTCTCTCTCTCTCTCTCTCTCTCTCTCTCTCTCCCCCCCCCTCTCTCCCTCTCTCTTTCTTTCTTTTTTTGGTTAGTCAGTCAGTCTGCGCTCCAGCTGGACCCTCTAGGGCCTCCAATTTTGTTCTTGGTTGTCCCCCGCCAGGCCAGGTCCCCATCTAGAAGTCCCCAAGCTCCCCAGCAGGCGACAGATGTGCCTCTCTCTTATCCCTGCTTCTCGACTTACCCCAGGAGACTCGAGCCGGTGTTGCTGTGCGGGATGCTGGTTGCAGAGGATAAAGCATACCACCACCGTGCCGAAGAGAAGCAGCGCAAACACAGCCCGCAGGATGAACTCCCAGGGCAGGCGGCGCACCACGTAGGTGCAGGAGCCTTCCTCTGCCATCTCCATCGTGGTCCTCCGCCAGCGCTGCATGAGTTGCAAGCCCACAGTGCAGCGCAAGGGCGCCCGGAGCTCACCCAGGAAATGAACTTCAGCCCGCGGCTTCAGGGCTTGGGCCTGTCTCAACCTGCCAAGGACATGCCCCGCCCTGCTGTGGGGAGGTCCCTGCAAAGGGGGTGGGGGGACTTGAGTTCTTCCCGTGCAGGGAAATCCCCTCTAACTCCTAATGGGCCCCTTGGGCCAGGGAGTTGCCCGTCCCTCAGTCTTCCCATTCCACTCCCTAGTTCAGCTTCCAGGTACTCATTCATTCTTTTTTTTTTTTTAATTTATTTTTTTTATTGTTAGTTTCAGGTTTACAGAACAATTCATTCTTTATCCATCCATCCATCCATGCATCCAACAAAATTTCATTAGAGTATCTACGATAGACCAGACTCTGCTTTGAATAACCAGGTTGCTGTCCCTGGGGGAATTCCACGGATTGATCGTTCTCTAGACTGTGCAATTTCTAAAGACGGTGGAAGTCTGAAACCAGAGCTGGCTGTGCCTTCATTCAAGAGGCTGTAGAGGGGGGACATGGCGTTTCCTTTTCAGCTAAGTCCCTTCATGACTTCTGAGAAGTCAGGGGACTCCTGGCACATTGTGGAGCCGTCCAGCCCCACCTACGCCCCTGAGAAATGAGGACAGCTTGAAGGTGCCAACTCAGGCGTCCTCGTTTTCCAACTTGGCCGCCCCTTCACTGTCCCTTTGCTGTGGATGCCTCCAAGAGCGCTATGCCTCTTGGTGCTCTCCTTGGCTGAGTTCTAAATAGGAAGGAGACAAAGGCCCATTGGCTACAGCTCCCCCTTAACTAATATCATGCCTCCCAATTCTTGGATTTCAGCTAGGAAAGGGGCATCAGGACACCCCTGTGTTAGCACCGATTTCTCCTACTCCATCCCTGTCCCTTTCTCTCTAGGAGTGGAGGATTTGGGATTTCCCCCCATTTTTCCATGGTAAGGGCTTGCATGACTCAGAAGTCGAAAGATCAGATTTTAAGGTCAGCCAGCCTAGCAGAGTGTGGTGAGTGAGGCACTCAGGTGTAGAAGCAAAGGGCATCCCCAGACTCAGTGATCAACTTAAATAATATTCTAGTGTAATATTTTCAAAAGTCAAAATATTATTGCAAAAACTGTGCAATGAGCAGAATGTTCTGGGCCGGCCGAGTGGCTCAGTTTGTTAAGAGCTTGCTCAAGAGTGGGAGCTCTGAGCAACAAGGTGGCCAGTTCGATCCCCACATGGGCCAGTGAGCTGTGCCAGAGCTGAGCTGCCTCTGAGCTGCCAACAGGTGGCAGGATGGCTCAGCTGGTAGGAGCACTTGCTCCTAACAAGAAGGTTGCCTGCTCTAGATGGTGGGCTACGCCCACCCGCAACTAAGACTGAACTCGGCACCTTGAGCTGAACTGCCGCCCAGATGGCTAAGTGGATAGAGCGTGCATTCTTAACAACAAGGCTGCTGGTTCGATTCCGCATGAAATGGTGGGTACGCTCACCCGCAACTAATTGAACACAGCACCTTGAGCTGAGCTGCAAGACTGGACTTGGAGCTGAGCTTACTGCACCCCCCACAATTAAGATTGAAGGACAACAACTTGGCTGTTCCCCTTCCCCAATTTCCCAACACTGTTCCCTTCCCTCAATTCCACAATAAAAATATCTTTTAAAAAAGTCAAAATGTGTTCTTTTTTATTCTTTTTAGTTTTTGACAATTTTTTCTTGTGATGTGAACATTTAAGATCTACTCTCTTAGCAACTTTCAAATATGCAATACATTATTATTACCTATAGTGACCACGTGCATGACATCGCATGATTCAGTTATTTTACTCCTGGAAGTTCGTACCTTTGGACCACCTTTAAATATTTTAAATATTTAAAATAAAGATTGGATCTGACCCTGTACTTACATGACTTACCTCTTTCCTTACCTTAACTCTGACCCTGGAGCCCAAATTTGAATTCTGGCTCCATTACTTACCATATATGTGACCTTGGGCAAGTTACTTAACCTCTCTGTGCCTCAGTTCCCTGGAGGTAATAATATTATCTACTTCATAGACCTGCTATAAAGAGTAAAAGAGTTAACATCCACCAAGTATTTAGCACAAGGCTATCAGGTAGTAAGGAACTGGTGGTGGCTATTATTATTACCACCACTACTTTTGTTATTATTATTATTTTCATTATAACTTCAGCTCTCTATCTGACATATAGTAACCTAGACCCTAGAAATTTTCAGATCTAAATATCAACACATAATTAGAGTTTAAAGAGTTTATAAAATAATTACTTTTTCTGCTGCCAAAGTTAGCTTTCAAGACACTTGATTGCCTTGATAGGAGCTAAAAAGTCTCACATTTCATTGTCATAGCTGATATTTCCTCCTTCCCCTGAAGCTTGTGTACTGGTCAGGGTAGGCTAGGCCAGGTTATGCTATAATGACAAACATCCCTTAATGTCTTTACACAATCAATGTTTATTTCTTGCTCAGGCTACGTGCAGGTCAGTGAGGGGTTCAAATCTGCTCATGGTAGCTTAAATGTCACTATCATTTACTTTCCACTGAACAAGGCATATCATGCTGTTCTGCCTAAGTTCAGAGGATGAAGGGAAGTGGCATGCTTCCATGGGCCTGGGAGAAGGGAAGCCAAAAATAGGTGGAAAACACTAATTACTATCAGAATTAGGTTGCCAAAACTAAGCTCATTCTCCTTCCTGCTCTCAAAATGCTCTCACCACTCCCCGAGAGAGATGGCTCCAAAGTCCTACCTATTACAGCATCAAGCTGTAAAGTCAGGATATCTGAGTGATGTGAAATAACCTCCACTATTCCACTCCACTAAGGAGTGATGTGTGGATCTCAGTAGCAAGTCCATAGAACCAGAGACTCCAGCTATCTGCCTCCTTCCATATCCAACATTGAGTGGTTCATCAGGGACACACTGCACACTCCCATTTGGGGAGGGGAAGAGTAGCAATTCTGAAACCCTGCTGGACAGATACCCCGGGACCCTAGCTGGGAGAGAAGGTGAGCTCTAATCCCAGTGCATATAACAGTGCCTGGCACACAGTAGGTGCTCAAAACTAGTTATTGACCAAATGTCCATTGACCATTAAAGTTACTAAATCAGCAGTTTAGTCACTTCTCTGGGCTTCTATGAGATATTTTCCTTCATATGGTGCAAGAATCTATTTGGTTATTAAATGCATACACATTTTTATTTATTTATTTATTTATTTATTTATCTCTATCAAATTTATTGGGGAGACATTGGATAGTAAAATAATATAGGCTTCAAGTGTACATTTCTATAATACATCATCTATATATTGCATTGTGTGTTCACCACCCAGAGTCAGTTCTCCTTCCATCACCAT